CCCCTGGGAACCGCCCACCCAAAACCCCGGACCAAAAAAAAAAAAAAAAAAACTAAAAAAAAAAAAAAATCTCCACAGGACCACTATTCCACATGAGACTGCATCCTAACTCATCTTTTAATTTTTCATCTGAGAGAATAATCATTATAATCCTCATTCAACATGGAGGACTGCAAATGGATTAGGATGCTTTTTTTTGTAAACTAGCAAACTGCACTACAGACATACACTTACAATACAAAATCAAGTAGAAAGACAACAAAGCACAGTTGGTTTTTTTTAAATTTTGGTTTCATTTTGTTGGTTTCGTTGTGGATTGACAGAGACATGGGAGCAGCTCTGCTCTGACGGCTTTGGGACTTTATGGTGCCTTGCAGAGACACGAGAGAAGAAGAGGGGACCTCACAACTCCACCGGCGGCACGCCATTACAGAAAACCAGCCGCTCACACGTCTGTATACGACTGAGAACGCTTCAGTGGTGTTTTTGTGGCATTATTTGTTTTCGACGCGTTTTTATCTCTTCTGACTGAGAGCTTATCGACCACACAACTCCGCAACCACCACATTTGCCACCACGCCGTACGGGGAAGTTGTGTGTGCTTACTCCAATGTAACTGTCATGAAACTCCAACATCATCATCCAAAGACTTCTGGGTAAAAGTCCTCCAAACGGGTCTCGACAGTGGATCACCCGAGGCTCCACACGATAACACGAGAGTGTGTGTGCGCGGGTGTGTGTTGCCGTCTTGGTTTGAACTTTGGCTCCTGAAACGGGTGGGTATGCTTCTCCACACGTGAACTCCAGTGTGACTCTTCTTGCACGTTTTTGCTCACTGTCTCCACTTTCTCCTACTAAAGATGCAACAGTTGATCATTTCCCTCCTTCTGCTACTTCTCTTTGCTTCCTGTCTTCTCCGGTAACAGTCTGCAGTGCATTGGTAAACCAGAATCATAAGCTTTAGAGCCTGCTCTTCTTTAAAGGAATAGAGATAGAGATTATATATAACATTCATATATATATAAAGATATATATATTTTGATTTTTTTTGTTGTTGCTTTGGTTGCATTTCCTACCCTGGTATTCATTGTGGCCTAATATGTTTTTGATCATTTGTGTGTGTGTGTGTGTGTGTGTGTTTAAGCTTAGATATATCGATAAAAGAACAGAAACATTAAGATTAGGAATGCACAGGTGTTGCTCCAACACAGAAGCCTTCCAACGAAAGGATTTGGAGATGAAGACATTCCAGTTTCACCTTCTTCCTCTTTGCCTTTTTATCCATAACTCATAGGCAAACACACACACACACACACACACACACTCCTACTCATGCTACAACTTGCCTTTTTTTCCATCTCTTAAATAACTTCTTTGGAGGAAAAAGAAAACAGCCTTTTTGTTTTACCTTGTCAGTTTTTTTTCTTTAATTTTTATGTGATGTTTTTTCTTTTTGAGGGAATTAAATGAGTTGTGATTCTGTTGCTCATGGATCAATGAAACCTAAAGAGGAACAGGTTCGTTAGTGATCGACGTAATGGAGCCTGTATGGACTTGGGAGTCATATATTTTTATTAAAGCTAACTTGGACGGATGTGTTCCAGAACCAAAATTGAAGTAATGCATCTTCGTTTTTTAGTTTTTCTTTAAACAAATCTGTGCATAAACAAATGCGCTGAGCTAATTTTCTCTGAACGGATGCAAAAGCTTCAAAGAAGTACATTTCTCAATTTAAAAGCAAATGGTTCTTTTTGCAGCGGCAGTATTTGGACGGGACT